GGTGAGTGAGTGTTATTGTGAAAATTGCGCAGGGGGTCGGCGTGCCGAGTGGGGCAGTAGCAGCTGCCGGTGGCTCCGTTACCAGCGCAAGTCTACTCAAACTCCAGCAGCAACAACAGCAACAGCAACAACAACAACAGCAGCAACAACAGCAACAACAACAGCAGGCAGCGGTTCAACTTCAGCAACAACAACCGAGCAGCAATGCGCCGCAGCCGCCTTTCAACCAGGTGAAATTTACAACTACAGAACTCTCCCATTCTCCCACCTAATTAGATCCAACACTTTCAACATTTACCGCCAACAAATTATTATTGAAGCATAGTTTAAGTCAGCGGTGATCTCAGAAACACAACCTATTTTTATCTTATCTTTTCTTATCATTCTTTATCTTATTCTCTCACTTCAATCTCTATTTTAAGCTCGCATTATGTATAATGTACATACTTGTCGTTTCTGTTTCGAGATTTCTGAAGACCTTGTGTTTTTAGTTTTTAGTTCATTGGAATATGGTGTTGTCTCAGTTAATAACTTTTGAATAACATTTTCATAGTTTTACACAGGGATTTGATCTAATTTGTTAAATTCCACTATCAAAACGATTATTATTATTACTATTATTAGTATTATTATTATGAGTATTAGTATTAGTATTAGTATTAATAAGTGGATTGTGATCATAAATTACATTGTAGTTTGTCTTATCTCATAAATCATATTATTTTAACATACTTTAGATTTTAATATAGCTAATTTTATTTCATAAGAATTAATCTAATTTTAATTTTTTTGAAGAATCAATTTAATTATATATAAAATTCATTACATTATAATATTCATACAAATGAATTAAATGAATTAAATGTGCATAGAGTTTCTTATTGAATATTATCTATTATGAGTATTAATATTAATTTTCTGATAATAATGAACAATACTGTATGCTAATTAATGCAAAATATTGTTTGAAATGTTTTATTTATTATTGAAATGGCCGTTTATCTATATTTAAGATGTTATCCGCGTACGTATTTCATAAATCGCTATATATCAAAAATATAATTTTTTAATGAACGGATAAAAAAAATTTAACATAATATAAAATTATATTTACGAATATTTATATAATGAATATTTATATATTGTATTGTTAACATATAATATATTTATTTACAAAACAAGAGCATCTATATATATCTCAATTATTATCGCAAAGATGGAAATTGAGAAAAACCCAACATAAGAGCAATAAGAAACTATTATATATGATTCTTCGTATGGATGAATTCATTTGCGATTATTGTAACATCGTTCGCATTTAATGTGAAAAAAGCGAATATGTATAATAGTTAAATGAAACACGAATGAAATCTTTCTGCCTTGTGATAAACTCACTTCTTTTAAACATTGCTTTTTTGTAGATTTGTCTTTTCTTGCATGTATTTGCTTTTTTATTTTTTTTTGCAATTAAAAGTTGGGTTAGCTTATAATTTTATTTCGCTTTCGATCTGAGGTGATTTTTTATCTTGAGCTTCCGATTATTATTTATAATTTGCCCAAATATTTATACCTTTGAATATGATTTCTTTCACCTCCATTTATTTGCATGTTTTATAAGCATTTGAACATTGTATAATTTTTACGTTATAATTATTTTTAGTTTTATATATTGGTTTAGATTAGATTTTTTATGAATATCTGAATACAAAAATATCCAGGACTTTTTTAAATCGTAACGATAAATGTATTTTATTTATAAATATATTTTATTTATTTCTATTATCTCTAATATTATGAAATATAATTTGAATAAAAATCTATTTTAATATTTTTGTAATGTATTTAATGTTGAATTATATTATTTCAAATGTTTATCTGTTCTATGCTTGTAGTTTCATTATTTTATGTGAATTTAAATATTTATAGTGCTTAGTTGTAATTAAATTATGAATTAATTTTATTAAGAACCAAAAATACGGCCAAAATACTAGCTACTTATACTTGAAATTAAATATACTTTTTTTTATCATAATAGAGGTATTGAATTCCATCAAAGAATATTTGTATTTCCTCTGCAAGATTGTGTATAAAAAAATTATCTTTTGCGATACTTTAGAATATTGATTTTATTCAAACATATAATTTATTGATTCTATTAGTGTTTGTGACGTACAGTATTTTAATAATAAGATTATTCATGTTCATTATGAAAATTCTACAATACTTTTAAAATGAAAGGAACTTTTTTTTTTAATTGATCAAATAAATAAAATTCAAATCATTAAAATTGTTTTTAAGAGTAACACTATATTCATCTTTGATTAATCCTCTAAAAAATGAAACTGAAAATGAGAAGAAAATATAAATAACCAATAATAACAAGTGAATCGAATATTTATTGTGATGAAAAATCGCAGGCTTCGCGCACACCGCAGAATCAGCCGAGTACTCAGCAGCTGCGTATGCTCGTCCAGCAAATACAGCTGGCCGTTCAGGAGGGCTACCTCAACCATCAGATTCTGAATCAGCCACTAGCTCCTCAGACTCTTATGTTCCTTAATCAACTACTACAGCAGATTAAAGTCTTACAGCAGCTTCACCAACAGCACACCATGCAGAACTCTCTCAAGTCTAATGGCCAGAATGTTCTACAGATAAGTGTACAGATTACCAAGACCAAGCAGCAGATTGCTAATCTTCAAAATCAGATTGCTGTGCAGCAGGCGACTTACATGAAGCAACAGCAACAGCAGCAACAGCAACAGCAGCATCCCACCACGCCGTCACAGCCATCAGAGTATTATAAACCATCGGTGCATGACCCGATGAGCGCACTGCAAAATAGCTTCGGTGATCTTACCATGAATAAGGAGCCTCCAGTGGTTAGTTTTAATTTTTTTTTTAAGAAAATTTAAGCAAGCATGCAATATGATCAGTTTGCAACTATATACTCTTTCGTTATCAATTAATTAAAATCACGCAATAAATAAAGTACTTCACATTTTTTTCTGAACAATCGTCTTCTTGGCGATTAAACGATGCATGTATATTTACTTTAAATGGAAATCCAATAAGTGCAACTTCAAAATTTACGGCTCTTCTGCGTAGAGCCAGCAACAATCACGACTCAATCAATGGAAGCTTCCGTCCCTGGATAAGGACGGTGACTCGGTTGTAAACGAGTTCTCGCGCGCACCCGGCAGCACAAGTGCAAAGCCGCCTACGACACCAGGCAGCCTCAGCCAGTCCCATAGCAGTCCGAACATGAATCCACTCCTCGGGCCTGGAGATGGAACGTGGTCAACCCGGCTCGGTGATAGCGGCTGGCCTGACACCGGTAATAATGACTCCACCGACGGCAAGGATTGGCAGCCCCAGACCGCAGGCGTCGCCTTTACAGATCTTGTACCCGAATTCGAACCTGGCAAGCCCTGGAAGGTAATATTCTAACAATCTAAATCATTATAGTCGATAATGTTTTGATAATATTAGCGTTCTACGATTTTGTCGCTGAGACTAAATATAGTTTAAATATTTCATCATGTTTAGTTATTTGATTAAATGCTATTGTTATTCGATTGGATTTGAGATCATAATTTCGAACTAAATTAAGGAAATGTGTATTTGAAAAATAAATGAGAAAAAGGAGTCTGATTTATAAATATTCATATGAGTTTGATGTAATCAATTAAAATTGCAATAGGTGATTACGTAAAGTTAAATCTTTATTGTTTTAATAATACAACCTACAAAAAATCTTTACGACTTTTGCATACAAAGATAAAATAACAATATAATATGCTTTTAGTTTATAAGCTCTGTCTTGGTCGCCGTATATTTCACATGTTTCTAGGGAACACAGATGAAATCGGTGGAGGACGATCCAAGCATAACACCTGGTTCGGTGGTGCGTTCACCATTGTCCATAGCCTCCATCAAGGATCCCGATACACTTTTTTCGACGGGTAGTAAAACATCACCACCGCCTCAGGCCGTTAACGATAGCACATCCATTCCAAGTCTTAGTAATTCTACGTGGAGCTTCAATCCCCCGGCCACAACGCCCAGTATTTTCACCAGGTATAAGAATAATCATCTCTAATAATTCAATTTTTCACAATTTTCAATAATAGTTTTAAAGTACTGTTAGTGTACGGGCCTTAAAATTTAAAAGATTGATTCATTTTGAATTTCGGTATACTTTATCTCTTTATAATTTTCGTTTACGTATTCATATATGAATATGCATATACTTAATTTATTATCAATTGTATTAAAAAAGGTTTGTATAACAGTAGCTCTATCAAATACGTTTTTCCATAATACATTTGCATTAAAACTACTTGTCATCAATAATAAAAGAAGTCTTCGCAATGTTAACAGCACAAAGAACACCTGGGGTGACGCAGCCCCACCACCGACGGCAGTCACGTCGGAACTGTGGGGCGCGCCTATGAGTAAGTCTCGTGGTCCGCCGCCCGGACTCGGCAGTAAGGGTACTACATCTATGTCTAACGCAAGCAATGGTTGGGCCGCCCTTGGGCGCTCCAATACCTGGGCGCTTCAAACTAATGCACCAAGCGGCAGCAATACTGGATGGGTTTCACCCTCGACATGGCTTCTACTGAGAAACCTTACGCCTCAGATTGACGGCTCTACACTCAAGACGCTTTGCATGCAACACGGACCCGTGCAAGACTTCCGGCTCTACCTTAATCATGGAATTGCACTCGCTAAATATTCCTCGAGAGATGAAGCTATTAAGGTAAGTTTCTTCGGTAATTTTACAAAACAACTGTATTATGGATAACATTGTATAATTTGATATATTTTTAAAATTTACATATTCGTTAACTACATATAATTCTTGATAAATGCTTTTGCACATTTGAACTTTATGATATATAATAAATAAAAATCATTTTTTTATGATAATTTTATTATTCAACTTCTCATTCAATAATTGAAAAATTCTCATTTTTATTCACTTTGAATAATTAAAGTTCTGAGAATTTGTATATTAAAAATAGATTTTTTAAATAGATTTTGCATTGATTATTAATAAATTTTAAATAATATTAATATTGAATATAATAGTACTACTTTTATTTTTGTCATGTTACAATGCTCTCTCCATCGAAGCACGGGCATAAAATAATGTCCGAGATATTAAATTTTGATTGAATTAAAGATGTAATATTTTAATTATTTTAATCAAATTAATAATATTAATTATTCAAATAACAAATAAAAAATAAATCTGAGAAAACTATTTCTCAAGCAACATTATTGTAATTATTGGCAAAAGTATATGGATTTTTCAAATATTATGTATTATAATATACATATATACAAATTAAATGCTAATGTATACATTCAATGTATTATGAATGTCAGATTTTAATGATTCTCTAGTAATGATTGTTCTCCACTGTTGAATATTATGTCATTTTTTAATATAAACTAATGCCTTCAGGATTAAATAAAATTTTTAGAATTATTTCGGTTGCTGATAATAATAAACGAGCAACGAAAACAAAAAACGGCGAACGATTTGTTGCAGGCCCAGGGTGCGTTGAATAACTGCGTTCTTGGTAACACGACGATTTTCGCCGAGTCGCCGGTTGACAGCGAGGTCCACACCTTACTACTGCAACTGAGTCATGGGAGCGGAGGCGGTGGTGGTGCAGGAGCCCAGCAGCCCAGTAGCGGCGCCGGTGGGTGGGGTCTTAGACCAACTGCCAACAAGGCCGGGCCGCCGACTGACACCTGGGGCGCGGGCACAAGCCAACTATGGGGTGCGCCACCCGCGAGCAACTCCCTCTGGAGCAGCACGGGCATTGACTCAAGCGACCAACAGCGCGCAACTCCGAGCTCCCTCAACTCGTACTTACCCGGAGACCTCCTGGGAGGTGAGTCCATGTAGATGATGATGATGACAAACGGGAGCCGAGAATGGAGCCCACTACTCACGAGCGACGTCAATTGAAATGCTAAGAAAATGTTTTAATGATAACGAAAGATTTTACAAATCATTCGATACATCTACATAAATGCACACTCATACATACACGCGCGCACTTTATATATACATACATACATAAAAAACTTGTGCGCGCGTATGTCTGCTATGTGGCAAATGACAACAGACGCTAAGACATGTAATTTGTACCGAACACTTGAAAAGCCGTGTTGCGGAAAATACATTAATAAGAAAACAACTATAAGCTAAAATATGCAAGACGAATATAAATCAACTACTATTATTGAAAATGGGTGGTTGGCGCTAGCGGCGGTTGGCGCTACTCCGAACCTCCGAGACTGTAGGCTATTATTGTAAACGGTATATTGATAGATATATAATACTACGTATATGTGTATGTATGTGTATATATATATATATATATATATATATATATATATATATATATATATATATATATTTATATATGTTTGTGTGTGTATATATGTATATATGTATGTGGAGTTTATTCTACTGCATACATATATATGTGTATTTATGCATGTATATTTATACACTACGTATTTATGCGAGAATTCGTCCCCGAACTAGCGTTACTTAACAGGATGCCGAGAAAAAATCAACGGATTTAGAGGCGTTGAGCAGCGCGAGACTGTAAACGGAAGCCTCTTTTCTTATTCTATTAATTACGTCTTCATTTTTAATTTATTTTTTGTAACTATTTTGCGTAACGATCGCTTGTTAAGAGAGCAAATATTAAAAAAAAAATTGGAGAAAGAAGGAAACACCACCATCCTTACTTTTTCGCCTGCTCCTCGCGCGATTGTCGATACATAAATAATACGTGTGAGACTTGTCGAGGAGCCTCGCAAATTTTACAATATAGAGGACAAAAGAAATTAAAACGGGCCCACCAGACCACACGTAAAAAACCGCTGCGAGGCTCGCCGAAGGTCGATTAGCTTTACTTTTCTTCTTCATAGTCTAGAATGGGATATTACACCACAGGCGTGCGCTTTCAAACGAGTGTTCCATTTTTTCTTTTCTTCTTTCGTTCTTCATTCTTCGACGGGCAGTCGAAGACTGCCGGCAAACATCAAATTTAGACTGTATCAATCTAATCAAAAAGGGTGTAGTAAAGTATGGAAAAAAGGAAACGAAAAAAAAGAATCATATAAATAATACAAAGCGAGTGAGAAAGGAGAGAATCAAGAGGTAATTCTTCTGAAAGCGACAAATGAAACAAACAAAAAAAAATCTATTGCTCTGTCTTGTAGCTGTGAAGTTTCAGGTCTTCACGGAGCTCTTAAACATACAGTACAGTAGAAACGAAGAGGAAGAAACCTATATGGTTCCAAGGTGCGATAGTATGTGAAATTCTCTCCGTTCCCAAAGTCTGATACATACAAGTACATATATGTTATATTAATAATATAAAAAATCCGTCGAGAGGCTGAGAAAAAAAGGACACGCGTAGCGCTATACGTAGCTAACGAGAAAATAAATATAAATTAAAGCCAACGAGAGCGAAAGAGAATAAATGAGAAAAAGAACGATAGAACGAGAGAAAGAGTATAAGGCGAGAGATTGAGGGAGAAAGAGAGAAAGAGACGCGGCCGGCGACGCAACGATACCAAATGTTATCGCAATAACGTAAATTTTATTCTATATTAAATCTAAATGCCACCTGTCGTGCCAATGTCCAGTGTGTCTCTGTACCATTTATTAAATGTAGCAGTTTTAATGATATTAAATAAACCGACGACGAGAATGAGTAAAACGGGGTTGTACTTTTTTTTTAATTTTTTTTTTAATTTTTATTGAGTGGGTGTAGGAAGCTTTTGCGTAATATATAAGGAAATAAGTAGTTTTGACGATAATTTGACGCTCGAGCTTCATTCACATAAACGAGTGAGAATGAAAGAGTGCGAAGAGAGTAGTAATAAAAATATTAGCTAGCGAAGACGAAAGATTCATTAAAGCAATTGCCGATATATGTGCACATATACAAATATAAATATATACCGTACGTGTAAATATCGTAAAGCGGTGTCGTAGCCCATGATTATCTAGCATTCTTTTACGAATGACGAGAAGATATTTTCTTCGACGTAAAACAAAGAAAACAAAAATAGAACTTTAATGAGATTTTTTTCTTTCCCCTCATCGGTCGTTATCGCGTGCTCTCAACGAACTTCGGGCCCATCAGTAATGTTCAATATGCAAATTCGATGTCGCACTTCTTAACGGAACTTTGACGTCGATTTTTAGACTAGAAAAAAATTGACCAAAAACAGATAAACAAAACATTGATAGGAACGTTTTCAACATTTCACATAGAGCCTCGGTAACCGAGGTTGAAGTTTTTACAATTGCGGTTTATAAACTTCCTTTTTTCATTAGTGTTGAAAGTACCTGATTGACTGATGAGAGGGGAATGACATTCATATGACGGAGGATGGGAAAGGGATACAAACGGGATACACATAAACCTAGAATTTGATACTTTGATCTTGTATTATTTTTTTCTTCCCTCATTATTTTAGAAGCTTTTTGTAATTTGAACACGCGTATGGAATCTTGCACTCTATTTCCTTATGCTCTCTTATCACTCATTCTCACTCCTCTTTTTATTAATCTTTCCCTCTCTCAGTCGACGTAATTTGATAAGCGACGGTTTCAACAAATGAATAAAAATTCGTAAATTAAAAAAAATATGTGTCTATAACAATACAAGACAACCGAATGGCGTAGCGATAAGCAGATTTAGTGTTTTTAACCAGTAATATTAATAAAAAATAAAATTGGTACATAAAACACAACACGTACACAACAGAGTCGAAAAGAGAGGAAAAGGTTTTAAAATTGAAGATATATATATATATAAATAAGAATAAGAGACACACGTGAAAATAAAAATACACTTACACACATCGATAGAATTGTAAGCATAAGTTCTGATTGTATTATTTAATTTAAAGAGCAAATATATATCTGATCGATAAATCATTGATGGAAGAATACGATGTAAAGGCATACATTATATGTATATCAAATATATATTATATATTATATATTTATATATTACGTAGCGTACAAGCGACTTCGCGTGGAGACACTGACATATAAGTATTTTTTGTTTTTTTTTTCTCAACCGTATCTTCTTTAAAAAAAAAAACGAAAAAAAAACAAAAAAAAATTAACGACTTGAGAAAGATTATTAATACTAGTCGCGAGCGGCGCGAAACAATACTAAAAAATATATACTAAAGCGAGCGCGACGATGAATTGTTTTTCAGCATTGTCACGATCCAAAATTGCACATTACATTATTATTAATATTATTATTATTATTATTATTATTATTATTATATTTCTGTAAAAGCAATACGCCACACTTTTTATTATTACTCAATTGTTCTTGTCAATTCTTTTTCATTCCTTTACACGCGAAAAACTATGAAATGTGACCTTCAGTTGCTGAGACCATGTAACGCAAACTCCTAAGACGGACACTTCGAGATACGGCTCTGGAAGATTCCAAAGCATCGATACGTAAAGGCTGAGTTTGGCTTGGTTTTATATAAATACAAAAAAAAAACAGAATTATGAAAATATCGATATACATGAAAATGAAAAACGACGAATGAATAATCGATGTTAAGTGTCAATATATAATATTTAATATTTGGTCAATCATGGATTATTAACGTCATTTTTGCATTTACAGCCTTTTTCGAAAGCTAAATAATAACGAAGAGCTTACTTTTTTGTTTAATTTTCAAACATTTTCGCGATATTATAAAATAATAGAATCGTCGAGATGAAAGACCTCCATAAGGCGATGTATCCGATGATTTTATTAGCTTTCCGCCTGCACGAGACTTTCTATATAGCGTAATAGATTAAAGAATAATAAATGAAAAAAAGTGCGTACTAAAAATATTATTTGAGGAGTAGCTTTAAATTATTTTTTTTTAACTAAAATGAAAAAAATAAAAAACAAAAGTATCGATGGTTTTATTAACTTATTCTTTAAGTATTCTTTGATTCTAAAGTCTGACGAAGTGTTGACCAAACAAAATTATCCACAGTCGACGATTGTTGGTAATCTAAAGCCATTTTATTTAATGTATATGGAATTATTAAGCGATAACGGTTGGAGGAAAAAGCAAAAGAAAATTTTTGGCGCCTATGCGTGTCGATGCTAAACTCAGCACGGAGGCATTTTTTATATTTACGTTTTGTTCTTTGATAAAATATTCGTTAACGGATACATTTATAAATAAACAATGTCGACATAAACGCAAGCGATGCGAGAACGTATGAGTTAGGGGGGAAATCACAAAGAATTATTGCACTCAAATAATTACTATCAAGTGATGGTGATGATAATGATGATTATGAAAGAAAAAAGTTTTAATGAAAAAATGACAAAGTATTTCGCGCACGCAGGTGCCGACGTTGCGTGCAGCACGAGACTTATATTTATTGATCAAATCAAAGACGATGACGAACGGCAGATGTTTGTTGTGATAATAAATATTTGAACTTTTAGGTATTATTAATACGCGGCTTCTTTCCCTCGCAAAAACGCGAGACTAAAGAATAAACGAAAAAAGTAAAAAAAACATTATGAGAAAAAGCGATAGGATGTGAAGAAAACTTGCGGTTAATGTAAAGAATAATTAGATAAAAGTTACGCATTGATATAAAGTAAAAATAATAATGAACCTTACTTATCGAACACGCCAATGTACCTTCTATTATAAAAGTACAGGCGATCTTTACTCATTTATATATACACACACAAACACACAAATACAATATTATATACAGAAATTGTATGCATGTGTGTAAATATGTGTATGTATATATATATATATATATATATATATATATATATATATACATACACATACATACATATATACATTTATAATTTCAACTAAAATGCTATTACATATTAAGGTATTACATACAAGTAAAAAAGTAAGACGAATAACAAAAATAAGTATGAAACAATACGATTTTTAATAATAGTGTATTTATAATAAAAATATTAGCTCATAAATTGTG